CATCTCGGAGAACTTGAGCGAGTACTGCCAGCCGGTCCAGGAGGACCACTCGACGCCGTCGGCGTAGGAGGCGTGCGCGCCGCGCAGGTACTGCCCGTTGAGGTTGGACGTGTGGCAGTTGCGGTACCACCAGGCGCCGCGGTAGAAGGCAGCGCAGTTGTTCTCCGAGTGGTCACTGTCGCGGTCCTTGGTGGTGAACCTCATGCCGCTGTGCTTCAGGAGGGAGTCCCCTGCGCAGGCGCGCGCGCTCAGGTGTGTACTCGGGGCGCACAGGTGCGGGCATGCGAGCACAGCTACGTGTGCGCGGTGCGCTCCCCTGGATGTGCGTGTGCACGCACGTGTACACAGTGCCCCCACCAATACAGAGTGGTGCACACGCACCTGTCCCGACACACCCGCGGTGTCCGCGCAGCTCACGTGCACCCGCAGCGCCCCCTACGGGTCGGTGGCTGTCCCCTGGGTCTAGGCCGTTTCTGTTCCTCCCCCCAGCTTTCTCACGCGCTGCCTCCCTGTCCTTGCTTGTTCCACTCTGCCTAAGAGAAACCCAGCCCCCTTGAGAGACCCGCAGAGCCAAACCTCAGGTGTCTCCTTTCCTGGCTCACTTTGCTCATCGGCTAAATGGGCGAACCCTGCAGGCCCTGCTGGCTTCGTTTGCTGGGATGAGGACCAGGTGGGCCTTGGAGGCGAAGGGGAGAAACCTTGATCCTCACCCCAGAGGCAGAAGCACTTGCCCTGGCAGGACCTCCTAGGTGGGGAGACTGGGACCTTGCCCTGGCAGGACCTCCTAGGTGGGGAGACTGGTGGGCTCCCTCCCCCCACCCCCGCCTGCTGCAGCCTGGAGCCCTACCTGCAGTGCCGGAGTAGTCGGCCACAGTGAGTGGGAACCCGTCCTCCTCGGGGTCCACAGAGAACAAGCCCACGCCGAAGCTCCCGTAGTGGGCGTAGGCTGTGCCGTTGTCGAAGTCCTCTAGGTCCACGTGCAGCTCGTAGGCCGCCTGCGTGGTCAGTGCGTGCAGCCTCTTGAGCCCTGGAGTGGGAGAGAGAATGTAGGAGAAGTGGGGGGCTTAGAAGGTCCCGCCCAAGAGAAAACTAGGTTGAAACAAGAGCTAAGCTCATGTGGTTGGTGACAGAAAGGGACAACAATCCCAAGTGTCTGAGGTGGGGCCCGGTACACAGTAGGCGCTCAATAAAGAGATGAGAGGCAGAAGGCGGAGCTTGTGTCTCCAGCTGCCTCCAAGGCCTGGTTCTGTACCTGCCCCACCGCCAACACCCAACCCACCTCCTCCCTCCCTCTGTCCCTCCCCTCCTCAGCTCTCCCATGCCCATCCTGGGGTCTCACGCCAGGCCTCCCTGTCCCCCCGCCCCCTTCCCCCACAGTCACTCAGGGCACTTCCCTGCCACTCTGATTATCTCTTGATGAAGAGGCCATTTAATTAAACGCCTTACAAGTTATCAGCACTGAGTGACAGTTCATCAGCCTCTCCCTCCTGCCTGCCTTTCCCGAGCTCTGCCCCACCCCCGCCCCACAGGTCACCGTGTTCCTGCTAACTGGGCATGACGGCCGTGTGGCCCTTCCCCATCCAGCCTAGGGGCAGCCTCGGTCCCGTGGTCCAGGTCCAAGGACACAGTAACAGCAGCACCAACAGCTGACCTGCCCCGCGTCTCCCTGCCTGTGTCCACTCCTCCCTGGGCTGCAGTTCCAGAGCGACCTGCTCTCCCTCTCTGGGCCCCGGCATGCACACCTGTGCAGTAGGCCTCACTGGGCTGTTGGGAGGGGCTAGAGGGCTCCACAAACTCTGAAGGGCAGGCAGCGGGCAAGTGACAACAGCCACTACCCAGACAGCACTTAACAGATGCCGGGCACTGTTCTGAGCACTTCACATGGGTTAATGAACCCTGCGGCATTAGGATGGGTCCAATTTAATTAGAGAATCCCTGTGCGATTCTTAGAACAGAGCCCAGCCGGCTGCACATCTTACTCAGGTGTTCGCCGCTGCTGTCACGGTCCAGCGAGGCAGGCGCTATTATTATCTCCTATTTTCTAAGTGAGAAAAGGAGGCACGGGGAGGTTAAGTAACCGGCCCAGGTCACGCAGCTGCTAAGTGGCAGAGCTGGGATTTGAACCTAGGCAGATTTGCCCAGACTCCTTGCTCTTATGCAGTTCTTGCCTGGGACAAATAATCGGATCCAGGAATAGGGCAAGAGGGGGGCCCGCCCCGTGGGGATGCTGGAAGATTCCTTTCCCCACCACTGGATGTTCGCCGGTGGGCTGAGATCCGACCCCATCATCCATCAGAGTTCACATAGCAGAGCTTGAGAAAGAAGGAGCCAGCAAATTACAGTGGAGAGAAAACACAGACCCCCACACCTGGTACCGTTGCCCCAGTGAATTCTCAGATGGACTGAAGGTCGGAACCTAACATGCGACACTGAGAAAGGATTAGAAAATAGGAGACGTTCCTAGAAAACTGGGAAGGGCCTAAAACCCAGAGGATAAGAAGGAAAAGACTGGCAGAATTGGCTACAGGAAAATTAAAACTTCTAGGAAATAAGCAATAATTTTACAAAAAAAAAAAAAACTGGAAGATAAATGACTGGGAGTAAATATGTATCACTTGTATCTGATATAGATCAATAACCTTAATATATAAAGAGCTCCTGAAACCCAATAGGAAAAGACAAAACACAGGATGGGAAGGTGACAGGAACGTGAAGAGCAGAGGGAGGGAACAGCAGAGGGATGTGGGACCGGGCTCGAGTTGACATTCCGGTCAGGGCTCCGTGTCTGCCAGGAGCTGATCAAGGCCCTGCCTAACGTTTCCTCCCACACCGTGGCTGCCGATAGATTTCAATTAAGATGCTCGGAGCGACGGAGGCATCGACGCTGCTCCCAGGGGGCGGGTGGGGAGTGGGAACAGGGCCTCCACCTGGCCGCCTTCGCCCTGTCTTCACACACCCACCTGGATGGGGGCGGCCAGGGCAAGGGTCTCCCCACCTAGAAGCTTCTCTCCCCCACCCCCTGGCCTGCCCCTGTGTTCATTCATTCAGTTCAGGGGATGGTTCAAAGCTTGGTGTGGCCCCAGCACGTGAACCCTGCCCAGGCTCCCCGACTCCAGCACACACTAGCTTGTGACTTGTGTCACTTGCACCGAGTGATCACCCTTTCTGAGCTTCAGTTTCCTCGTCCATAAAAGGGTGACAGGGTGTGAGGTATCAGGCCGAAGTGTGTAAAAGGGGCTGGGCACACAGGTGTGCAGTAGTTGGGGCTGTGGTCATGCAGTCCACGTGGGGATGTCACCTCTCCTGCGGCCAGTGCCCGTGTGACACCAGGGACAAAGCTGAGGTCCGGGCAGAGAGGGTCCTGCCTTCATGTCTTCGGTCATGAAGATGGACATGAAGCAAGCAACAGCCTAAATCACCACCCGGGGGCCTCTGCACACGTGGGGAGAGGGCACACACCTGGCCCCCACCCCCGAAAGTCCTGACAGACCTGGAACCCTCCCGACCCCACCTGGAGCCCAGATCCTGGCGCTCGGCCCTCCAGCTGGTGCTTCTGGCCAGCCAGGGGCCTCACACCTCTGCCCTCACCTCCTCTCCCTCCTGCCTGGCTGTCCCCAACCTCGCTGGGGAATGACACCAGATGTCCATGCCCGGGGATGCCAAAGTGGCACAGGTGTGCCGTGGGCCGTGCGAGGTCATTCCAGTGATGGAATGTGTCATTCCAATGCCTGTGTTTACTTTAACATATGTTAAAAGGTAAACAGGAGTGACTGACTGCTCATGGGGCACAGGGTTTCTTGTTGGGGTACAGAAAATGTTCTGGGACTGGATAGTGGCCATGGTGGCAGAACTGTGAACATAGTAAAAAAACCACTGAATTGTGCACCTTAAAACAGTGAATTATCTCTCCCCCCAAAAAAAACACCAAACCCAAAACCTCACCTTGCAAGCCACAACTCGCCACCAGACATATAGGACCTCGGGTCTAGAATTTTCATTAATGTTATTCTTTAGAATGAAATTATGTATGTATTTTAAAACGTTAAAATAGTGAGTTCAAAGAGAGACAGTATGTAAATAATAGTGATAATGACTATATGAATCTAAACTCTTCGAGCCCTTTCTTTGCCCCAGGCATGGACTCTGTGCCAGCGGTGGAAAGTGGGTGGCTGTGCCGAGGGACCGTCGGGAACCGTGGGCAGGGGCACCGAGTGGCCACCCTCCCAGGAGTCACGCCCTCCATGTCCCGAGCACGGCATCCGGCACCCCTGACCTCCGAGGGCAGGGCGCTTTGGGGGTTGTCCTGGCCCTCCATTATGTGGAACTGAGCCCTGCACCTGCCCACAGCTGCCTTGACACATGACAAGTGGCCAGGCCCCAAGGCGTCCCCGACAGGAAAAGCCCATGTGTCCATGGGGCTCATCCTGGTGACCATGGTTCCTGTACCTGCTTGCCCCTCTACCTCATTCCCTCTCAACGTACTGATGTCGCCCCTTCTGACGCAGCACCCGCGAGCTGGCTCGGTGTGCCCAGACCAGAGAGACGCAGCCAGCCATCCTCTGGGGAGAGCCGGTCCCCCAGCCCCCCAGTCTGCAGGCAGCAGGGTCCTCACCTAACCAGTGCTCCCCCGTGAGCTTGCCAAAGCCGTCCCGGTACGCCTCCCAGCCGCGGAAGAAGTTCACGGAGCCGTCCGCCCGTCGCTGGAACACCTGGAAAGCACGGTGAGGATGGGGAGCTGGCGCCGGCCCCCCCAGCCCCAGCCCCACAGGTGTCCCCCTCGCCTCGCCTGGCCGCTGGCTCCCGAGGGCAGGGGCCGGGCCTCCCATGTCCCTCAGCACCCCTGGCATGGGACCTGGAGCAGAGCTGGGACTCCAAGGCATGGGGGTGGCCCGAGGTGGCACTGACCGAATGTCCCCCAGCCCCCAGCACGTCCCCTCAGGAAGGAATCCTGGTCACTGGGGTTGGGTGGAGGAAGCCCAGCTCCCAGGCCAACCTCCGCTGCCTGGACAGGGGACCCTGGACTGGTCTCCACCCAGCTTGGGCCTCAGTTTCCCCACGAGTCAAATCACAGGGGTGGACAAGAGTCCTGACATCTTTCCCAGGTCAAAACAAAACTGAACCAAAACCCATTTTTACGATTTTAAAGATTGAGAATACACACACACACACGCACACACACGCACATGCACGCACGCACGCACGCACGCACACACGTTCAGCCTGCAAAGCTCCATCTCTCAGACCACCTCTGCCAGGCATGAACCAACCCCGCTTTCCCCCGCCAATAAAAAAGGCCCAGGCAGCAGATCAGTGGGAGCTGGAGAAACCCGAGCCCCAGCCCCTCCCGGGGGAGGCGGCCGGGCTGTGACGTGGGTGCCACCAGCAGCCCACGTTCCTCCTCCAATCACACGCCTGGCCTGGGAATCCCGCCGGTGAAATCGCTTTGAAATAAGCACCACACTGGTTTGGGCCAGAGCTGCCCTGAGGATTTCTAGGGTCCGCTGACAACCCGGCTCCCGCCCGCCCCTCGCTTCCTCCTCTCTCTGTTTAACGAGCCTTTTCCTGCTCGTTTGCCGAGGCAGCAGCCCTGGCTGCCGACCCCTCCGACTGGGCCCGAACCGAGTCCCAGGGGTTCCAGGCTTGGCTGCCGGTCTCACTGGTAAGCAGCCCGATTTCAGTCGCCCGGAACTGAGCGGGTGCTGGTCTGCCCGCGGGGGCTCTGCTCTGTCCCTGGGGACGTCAGGCAGCAGGAGGGAGGTGGCACCCCTTTTTCTTGCTCCATGACCTGAAACCTGGCCCAGCCCTGAAATGTGAAAGTCACCAGAAGGGGCCCGCTCCGCAGAGGGAAGTTTTATCAGGCTCAGATCTGCGGGGTGCGGACAGCGTATTGATGGTGCAGATTACACCCTGAGCGCACCTGCTGAGAGGCCTAATCCTGGCAGGAGCGGGGGTGGGGATGGGGGGCTCCTTGGCTCCCCCAGGAGGAGAAGGCAGCCGGTTTCTGCCGGAGCGGGGAGCTGGGCTGGTGGGGTAGGCAGTGGTTTTGGACGGGGGCTGCAGAGCCCTGGGGAGTAACTCCAGCCCGCTGAGCCTCAGCTTCCACATCTGTAGAGTGGAGCCCAGGAAAAGCTCAGGCCCTGGCCCATGGCTGGGGCTCGGTGAGTGCCAGCTAGAGACAGCACGGCAACACCGGCCGGCCGCGGGGGCCTCCGCTCTCCTCCCTCGGCCCCACCTGGGTCGTCCTTCCAGACACGGGCTCTGCACCGCTTGTCCCTGAGCCATCTCAAGGGTCCTGCCCAGGCCCCTTCCATTCACTCAAATGTTCCAAGCACCAGCTGGGGACACCAAGTCAGGGCCCTTCGGGCAGAGGAACAGGGGTGAGGCCTGGGCTCAGAGGACCCCACCCAGGCAGGAAGTGGGGCTGATCTAAAGGGTGGGGAGGGAGGCCCCGGAGGAAGGACAGGGTGCTGGCCCCACGTTCATCCACCGTGTGGCCTGGGGAAGACATTCATCCCCCTGGGCCTCACGTTCCTCACCCTCTGAGAAGCCTGCCTCCCGGGACCTCGGCGAGCGGTAGAGGGCACGGCGGCTGGTATGTCATCGCCATCGTCATCATTTTTCCTGCTACTACTATTAGGAAGTAAACAGTGTGAATGCCAGGCTTCCAGGCACGGGCGGGACATGAAGCCCAGACCCTGGGAAGGACGAGCCGTGTGGCCAGGAGCAGCTGGCCGAGAGGCGGCCACAGCAGCTGCTCAGAGCTGAGCCCCCCTTAACCCCGCCCCGGGACAAAGTTCTGTGTCGCCCGACCCCCTCCTCGTTATGGTAGACAGAAGCCCAGACGCTGGCCAGAGGCCGGGCAGCCATGAGCAGCGGCGTGTGCAGTGTGACCCACATGTCATGCCCACAGCCTAAGGCCACTGTTCCCCACTCACACCGCACCCGTGTTTGCCAGCGTGTGCCACCGACCAGGGCGTCCGCTGCCTGGGCTGTGCCTCCTCGTCTCCTGGCCAGCCTCTCACGCCAAGAGCCGACCTCTAGGCCCAGAGTCCTCGGCCCTTCTTTCTCGCTGCCATCCCCGGCTGGGTGTCAGTCACAGGCGTGACCACCCCGCTCCAGGCAGCAGTGGGGGTGAGTGCGCGTCTCGGAGCCGCCTGGACCTCCCGGGTCTTTCTCCCCGACCCGGGGAGGTCCGCTACGATCAGGTTAGTGCTGCAGGTGTTCCCAGCAAAGTGGTTGGAGTTGACACAGAGTTTGTTTGCCAACACGGGCCTTTAACCTGAGTGGTGACTTGTGACCCATCTTCGAGGGGCCCAACACATCCGTGACGTGGCTTGGCAGAAGCGTCTCTGGACTTGGTGACCCAGGGAAGTACGGTTTGCAGGGTGACACACACTCACGGGCGTTTCTATGTGAAACAGACACTCCTGCAATGACACCTGCCCGAAGAGGCTGCATTCTGGTATTTTCTGTCCTGTGCTGTTCTGTTCCACTCTCTGAGACTTAAAAAATAATGCCGATCACAAAATAAATTGATCTCGCCACCTCCCCACGGATCACGACCCGCAGCGTGCGAACCGCTGCTCTGGATGTTGCTGACCGTCGCCACGGGCGCCCCTTATCCCTCGGCTCAAATATCAGGTGACCAGGTGTGCTGGGCGCCGACTGGGACCTCAGACTCGGAACCCCGGCCTGGCCCTGGAGTTGATTACCGAGCAACGCGCCGGCACGTTCCAAGGGCGCGTGCGGGCGAGTGCAAGTCTCAGGTGTGCGGGGAGCTTTTCTCTAATGTGGACGCTCAGGGCAAACTGCACCTGTGGCTCCAGGCTCCTGGAAACCTCTGGACTTCAGGGACACCGGATGGCAGGCTGTCACCATGCCAAAGGCCTTCAGGACAGAGTGAGGATCAGCCGGACAGGAGGACACGGAGAGTGGGGTGAGTAACAGATTGACGTGTCCACTTCCCCCTCCTCTGCGCACGCACGGAGCACGAATCCCGTGTAGGCAAAAAAAGAGGTGACGGGTGGAGGATAGGGAACTAAAAAAATCACTTATTAATTTTGAGGCTACACTACTCATCAGTCCAGCTCCGGCGGCTGCACAGCGGCCGGTCGGTCGGTGGAGAAACGCTGGCCGCCACCGCGGACTCTTGGGCAGGCGCCACGAGTGAGAGCAGCCTGTTTCCTCCGTGCGGATTCTCAAAAGCCAGCCGCCTTGGCGTCTTCCAAGTGCCGCTGGGCCCACGTGCTCCCGCAGATGGCGATCGGGGTCTCCGAGGAGGGAGGACCGCACTTGGGGCGGTGGGAGAGTGGCTGACTGTCCCCCGTTTGTCAGACGGGCTCCAGGGGTCCGGCTCGCGCTCCACAAGTGGTTCCCGCCAGGGCCCCTTCCTCAGACAGGCCCCATCGGCGTCATCGTCCTGGGCGCCAGAGCCCGGCTCTGTGGTCACCCCAGCACTAGCCAGTGCCCTCGAGGACAGCCACAGCCCTCCTCGCCACGGCCCACGACGAGGGGCTCGCGCTCCCATTTGGCAGAGGAGAAGACTGAGGTTTGGAGAGGTGGGGCCACCTCTGCACAGTGGGGGTGTCTCAAGCTGGGGTGCTGGGGCCCACTGAGGCCAGAAGAGGGAGGCTGACAGCGCACGAATACAAAGGCTGAGGGGTGCCCCACGGCCGAGGGGGTGGATGTTGCTCCCCCACGCCCATGAGCCCACCTGGCCCGCATCAGAGTTGTGCTGAGCCGGCCCACGTTCTCAGACTCCAGCCAACGGGCTGCGGGACCATTTAAGCCTCGGCTTCTGTCTTCCGCAGAATGAAAGGGTCGCTGCCCCGAGCCCCACGTCGGGTGACTCTGACCCTCAGAAAGCTCACAGCCGCAGGGGGACGTGGACGCACGAGCCAGCAGTCGCGGGGTGGAGCCGTTCCCAATCCGGCATGTTCCTTTGACCTTTGTGCCCCAGTTTCATCATCTGTCAAACGGGGAGTTTAACGGCCTCTGCCCACGAGGATTTGGTGATGGTTAAATGTGCGGGTTGATACACGGAATTCCGTAATGGAAACAATTGTTGTCATATGTGCTGGTTGCTCAGAGGAGGATGAGCCATCTGACGGGGTGGGGGAGGTGGTCTCGGAGAGCTTCCTGGAGGAGGAGGTGCTCAGCTGAAATGTCGATTGAGCAGAGTCTTGCTTGGCAGGTGATCAGCAGTTGCTGAGGCCCCAAGTTTGTGGGCCGGGTGGGTCCAAACCCGACGAGATAGGGAGAGGGCGTCTCTGCCACCTTAGAAGGGAACCTCAAGAGGCAGCATCTGGGATCTTTCCTAGAGGCTCTGGTGACGCTGTTGTGGAAACCAGTTACCAGCAGGACGATGTTGGTCGAGTGGCTGCGGCAGCCACCAGCCTCCACTTCTGGGAGGCGGGAGGGCTGTGGCCCAGGCGGGTGGTTTCTGAAGAACAAAGGACTTGGACGTGAGGGAAAGCAGCCCCTGGGGAGCCTCTGCTTTCCTGGGAGGCAGCTGCTCCGCAAATCCGTCTGGATCCTCTGGGCATCGCCCCGGGGGGGCCGTCTTGCCGGCAAGAGTACGGTTCCGGAAAATGCTGAACTGAGTTCAAACCCCGACTCTGCCTCTCACAGGCCATGTGACCTCCAACTGGTCGCGGACCCTCCTGAACCTCAGTTTCCCTCTACAAAAAGGCACCGTCAACAACCCCTCTGCTACCCTGTGGGGTCGCAGTAAAGATGCAAAGAAGTAGAAGTGTGAACCGGGGCGCACAGTAGGTCTCGCCAGCATCGCCTCCCTCCGCTGCAGAACCAGCTGCCAGGCTCAGGAGGAAGTGGGCCCCCGCCTTGTTTGTGACTGAAAATGGTACCCCCGGGCTTGGCACCCCGCCGCGCTTCCCGGGCTTGGCAGTCGGCACCTGGCACACACTGCTCAGAGCTGCCATTTACCAAGTGCTGCGGCACCAGCTGAGCCTTCACGTGCCACCCCACCCACCTACAAGTTCGAATTATCCACACTGCCCTGGCCGAAGGCAGGCTTTGTCCGCACAGATCCGATAAGGGGAGGTTGGGGCGTTGTCACCGCATGTCACTGTTAACGTGTGCTGGCTCCAAGGACTCCCCAGAGCAGTGGGGGCCAGTGCCGAGCCAGGCTGCAGCTTGGAGACACAGTGGCCCACTGATGTCACAGCGGGTCCCCCTGCCACCACAGCCCCTGGAACAAGAACTGTCCACAGCCCCAGCCAACAGCCCTGGCAGGATCCACAGCCCTGCGGTCCCAGGCTGGGGGCTGTGGCCGCATCTACTGAGACCTCGGGCAGCATTTCATCTCTGCCTGAGCCTGATCCCACTGCCTGCTGCACTCCGCAGGCTGGAGGCTCCTTTGATGTTTTCTAAGAGAGGGAAGGATTTTCCTCCCCACCTGGGGAGCTCAGGTAGGGGGGATGGGCACGGTGGGGAGGGGAGGGGAAGGGAGGGTTTCCCTCTCTGTGGAGCCAATCAGAGGCACGTCTGAGCCACCGACCCTGCAAGGCAGAAAAGCGCCTGGCAGAGCGGTCTCCATGTAGAGTGTGGGCTTAGGCCACTGGGCTCAGGGCATCGAGGACAGCCTGCTTGCACTGTGGGTCCGAGTGGGGGCTCAGAGCAGAACTGATTCTACTGCAGGGCCCTGCAGTGGCAGACGCTGAGCTGGATCTGATTTCTGCAAACATGAAGGTTTGGCGGCACCCCTATACACAAGACTGTGCCTTGGGGCAGAGAGGCAGGACAGTGGGGAGACCCTGAGCAGGATCCTCCTTCCAACCACCCCAAACCCACACTGGGCCCTGGGCATGGCCACCCAGCTCCCCAGAGCCTGCAAGGAAGCCGAGCAAGATAAGTGGGCTACCCCACTGGCCGGACGAGGAAGGGGACGTGACCATTCCAATCTTGCGGGCGGGGGGAGGTAAGCTGGAAATGTCCCGTGCATCACCTTCCAAATGAGGAAGCTGGGCCTCTACTTTCACACATCTTCACCTCTGTAAAAACACTGCAGAGAGAGCGGGTTCCTCTGCTCCTGGGGAACCCCCAAGCTCAGTGTGGGCCCCCTGCTCCTCACCCCTCCCTTACAGGCAAGCAGCCTGCGAAGGATTCTGACTCTCCTTACTGCAAACAGCATCATATTATCGAAATTTAACACATAAGAAAAGTGAGGTTTGGAGGGGGGAAGTTACACCACGAAAGAAGCTGATAGTCGCTCTTGGCAAGAATTTGGGGAGCACTGATGGTGTGCAGGCACCCTGTGGAGCCCGGAGCCGCAGCGGCCACCAGATGGTGCGTCGCTGCTGGTGGGACTCACTCCTGGCCGAGGCACAGACAGGAAACGTGTGGACAGGTGATCCCTTAGCTGCACCTGTGCTGGCTGCAAAGCTGGAGCGGGAGGATGGACCAGCGGTCAGGGAGGCCTTTCAAAGGATATGGAGACTAAGCTGGACCCGGCGAGGAAGGCCCTTGCCCAGGGTCACCGGTTAGCAGGCGCAGCCCTTCCTACCTGCCTTTCCTCCTCCTTTTCTGGGGCAGGAGTGGGGGTGGGTGCATGTGTCAGGTTCTGAAGTGGCCTTGGTGATCAGTGTGACTCTGTGTGGCTTGGGCCACTGTGGCCTTTGGGGAGCATGAAGAGGAGGCTTGGGTCAGCCAGAGCCAGCAGCCACATCAGCTGAAAGGCCACTCTGAAGCATGCGTCCATCTGCCCCTGTGGTCTCCCTATTCCAAGGAGCCACTCGTGGCCTCATTCCCTCGTGGAGGCTCTCAGCAAGGATTCGGGGCCCATGGACTTCACGCTCCCCACACCCACCACGCCCCTCGGCCCCATGTCTCTGGGTCACTCCCTCCCTGAGGAAATCTCAGGGTGGCAGGAGCCCACTCTGCCCTCAGGAGAAAGCCCGACTCGTCACGTGCCCACACAGCCCACGCGACCCAGCCCTGTCCCCCACCCCCGCGGTCCCAGGACGAGCCCCGCCCTCTCGCCGAGGACCTCTGCACACGTGTTCCCATTGCCTCACCCCCCAGCACTTGGACGTCCCCATCCAGAAGCCGCTCTCGGCCGCCCCAGGCTCTGTTAGGGGCTCTCCTGCAGGTTCCCCCACAGCCCGAGCCCTGCACCCCTCACACAAGTCTGCCCCCTCGTCCAGCTCCCCGCCAGGCCGAGAGCTTGCTGCTGAATGCTCCGGCTCTGCAGCTGAACGCACGAAGCAGCGAGCACCACCGTGTGACATGCAGTTCCACAGACGTGCATGAGGCTGGGCCTCGGGCGGCCTGGGTGTGCCCCAGCTGGGTGCCCTTGGACAAGCCTCCAGCGCCTGGAGGGGTGCTGGACCTGCGCCGGGCAGAGCAGCAGAATACAAACTTATAATGTGCCCTTAGGGGGCAGGGCTGCTGAGCCCCATCCTTGCCCGGTGTGGTCTCTCTGGCCGGAGTGTCCAGCCCCAGGCGCACTGTCCAGCCCCAGGAGCACTGTCCAGCAGGGAGAGCCATCCGACGTCGGCACTCGAAGCCTGGCAGTTTGGACAGCGCATCTAATGAGGATGGATGGGACCAGCGTCCAGAGGGGCGGTGGCCGCTCCCTTCCAAACAACTGAGTTTCCAAGCGATGCTGTGTGGCAGGGCGGTGAGCCTGACAGATGCCCAGAGGGATCTGGGAAAAGATTGCTTTTGACAGAAGCCCAAATGGACATTAATGATTATTGGCCGTGCAAGCACTTCTCAGCTAATCTGGGCCTTTCTTGCGGGACCCCGATCCAGGTGTCTGAGTGGGAGGGCCTTGCTCATCCGCTCCCCTCTGATCACCCCGGAAGCCTGGGCTCCAGGAATTACCCACCTCCCCCGAATCTTGACTGACTTCCCAGGAGACGGGCTCAAGTCCGCCGGGGCGGAAGACGCATGGCTGGGGCCGGCGTCTCGGTCTTTCGTTGAGTCTGTCCTCACCCTTACCTCTGGTTTTGGGCTCTGGCTGGTACGTGGGATCGTTGAGGGGATCCCAGAGGCAAACACCATAACTCAGATGTTCTTTTAGAGCTTTTAGCCCCAGATGCAGATGAAGCACATTGAAAAGCTCTCCTCTGGAGCCGGAAGAGAGGTCTGGAGGTGCACCTGTCTCTGGGGCCGCAGAGCCTCAGCTGCCCTCAGTGGCCCTAACGGCAGGCTCTGCCCTCCAGATGCACTCATCTTGCTCCTTGCCTGCCCCCCTCAACCAAGCAACCCCCGGCCGGACCTGGGGGGCTCTGCTCCGGGCTGAGTGGCCCTGAGCTGGCTTCTCAGGCCTCCCGTTCTGCCTCCAGTGCGTTCCTTTCCTGCATAAACCAGCCCGCTTCTACTGCTTGCAGTTACGATCTCTAAGTAACGGACGTGGGTATCCCCATTTCACAGCTAAGGAAACTGAGGCCCAGAGAACTTACGTACTTGCCCAAGACCCCACCGCAGCACTGACAGCCACATCCAGCTCTGTCCGTGGATGCCGGAGCCCCCTCCCCTCCCCCAGTGGTTCAACTGCCATGCTCTCTGCCTCCCTGGCAGATGTGCCCAGTCACAGTGCCACCCCCGCCCTTCTGGTGGCCGTTCGAACCTTTCACCGCTCCCACTTCCCACCCAGGCCAGAACCAGAGGCGAGAGGAAGTCGCGATGGCTCCCTGCCAGGAGGCCGTCAGGGTCTCTGCTCCCAGCGGCCGGGGGCTCCCCCTCTTTATCTCCTGCACACACACCAGCTCCAGGATAACTCGACGGTTAACCATAGCACCAGCTCTTGAACTCATATCGGCCAGGGGTACTTGGTGTTGCATATCATCCTAGGAACCCACCCCGCCTGACCCAGCACCCCGGGAAACCACCGTCCTGGGAGGGCTCGCGCTCAGGGAGCAGAAAGTGGCTCCGCGGACAGGTGACAGGTCTAACACCTGCTCCCGAGCAGGCCCCGCGGTCAGCCTGCAAGCCCCGCGTGCCCGTGCAGGTTTCTGTGGGTACGGAGTTCTTCCGTGAGATTCCAGGTAGGTTTGTGGGGGCCGGAGGGCACCAGGCAGGGCCAGGCCAAGGGTGGGAGGCTGGCGAGAGGATCGGAACCCATGGGGATCATGGCCCGGGTCACCCCCGGGGCCTGCCCTGGCAGTGTGCGGGGCGGAGAGAAGGCCGGGAGACTCACCGTCCAGCCGCCTCCGTCTGTGTGCATGTCGCAGTAGACCTGGAAGCCGGTGGGGTCATGTGTGGGAAAGACGGAGTAGACGCCGTCCTCCTGCTGCCCGCCGAGGAGGACGTCCAGACAGTCACGCGGCCGAGAGCCTGAGCCAGGGAAGGCCGTGAGGGCGGCTTGGCCACCGCCTGTGCCCCCGCCCTGCCCCCTCTGTCCCTGGGTCTCGCTGACTTGTCTGTCCACCACGCCCCGGGTGGGCCTGGGTGAGTGGCACCCTCTCTCTGAGCCTTGCTTTCCTCATCTGGAAAATGGGCACAATGAGCCCCGCCCCATTGGGCGGGGCGAGGGCCCAGTGGGGGTGCAGGCAGGGCTGCCTGGCACAGGAAGTCCTTGGCAGACAACAGCAGTGTGTCCTTATCGGTGGGGCGGGCGGGGGGTAATGGGGGGCTGGAGCTGGGCATCAGGTCACCCGTGAAGGCAGTCCCCGCCCCCACTCACCGTTGGGGCAGCTCCGGGGCCGCGACCCCCTGGCAGGTGCCCTCTGAAGGTCGGCCTTGACCCGAGGCCGGCCCAGCACCCGGTCCCTGTGCAGGGCGTCCAGGACGTCGCTGACTGAGTTCACCAGGTGAGCCATGTGGCCTTGGCTCTCGGAGAGAAGCTGCAGAGCACAGGGGTGATCGGTGGGGGCAAGGGTTCCGGTGGGGACACCGCACGACACCTGCCAGCCAGGTGGGCTCCCGGTGCGGTGCGAGGCAGCCCCTGCCCTGCGCTGGCCCTGATCCGAGGCGGTCTGAGCCCGCAGACTCAGAGGACGGGGCCTCAGGTGGGAGGGGACAGAGCGGCTTCCGCTTCAGCCCAGGTGAGGGGATTAAAGGAAGCAGATGGCATCAGGCAAAGCTGGCTTCAAACCCCGACGCACCCATTTTCCAGCTCTACAACTGGGGGGCTTAACCGAGCCTTGAAACCAGGCTAATGTGCTCTCGCTGCAGCAACTGCTCTGGGCCAGCAACAGCCGTGGAAGGGCCCAGCTCAGTGTGGGGCCCGCGGCGAGCCTCTCGTCACTCGAATCCTTAAGGCACCTTCCAGGTTACCAAACACCGTCCCCCAACGTCCCTTTTGATGCCAGCAAGGTGGTGAAGGCGGGGGCGTGAATCTGCTCTTGGCAGGTGGGGGCCCTTGGGATGCTCCGCCCACCCCACCCATCCCCGACGCAAGCCTCGCTCTGAGTTTGTGTAGCTCTCTGTCCACCACCTCCCCTCACCCCACAGCACTGCCAGCAGTGGAGGAAACTGAGGCCCGGAAGGAGTGGTCCCTGATCAAGTACGACTTCGGGCCACTTCCTCAGGGCCGACTGGCAGGCAAAACGCCCCGGGCTGTGTCGTCACTGCAAGGAGGCCGGGGTGGGGGCAGGACGGGGACGGTGGTTGGGACCCAGGCTCTGGTGCCGATTCTGGGTTTTGACTCAGCCCCTGGAAGAGCAGCTGAGCCTCTCCACGCCTGCTTCCTGCTCCCTGAACCAGAGCAACGGGGCGTATGTTTCTGGGGTGGGTGGAGAGGGCAGGTTCGTGACGACGTGCGCTAGGGGCCTGAGCGCTCAGTCTGTGTCCTCCATATCCATCGTTCCCATGAGTGTGGTCCAGAGGTTTACAGCTCAGCGCAGCACGGTCCCCCGGGACCTCCCGAGCGTGCTGCTGCCTGAAGAGTCTGGGGTCTGTCACCTTCCCACCCCAGGCTCCAGGAGGCTGCAGGACCATGGGCAGGGGAGGCTGGGTCAAGAGCAGCCAGCAGCCAGCCAGTGGGTGTGGAGCCTACTGGGTCTTTGCACACCGAACCTGTCACCTGGCAGATAATAGCTCGTTGAAAGAAGGGAAATAGAAATACACGGCACCAGCAGTTTACAAAATATGATTCTAGGCTTGTTCGTAAGCAGGGGCCCTGCAAAGCTCTTAGTCTCCCTGTCAGTCTCTCCTCTGCTGAGCGGTTGATTCAGTGAGGAGAGAGGCCGAGATGGGCAGGGAGAGGTCTGCGCAAGCCTCCTCCTGGCGGTGGATTTCTCCCTGGGCTTTACTTCAGTGCAGGGTCCTGTGGACGGACCCCATCCCTGCAGAGGGAGGCAGGCGGCCCCGGGGGAGGGGACAGGGGTGCAGGCGGCAAAGATCGCTGGCCTCGCTGGTTAAGTCTCTAGGGTCTTGCTCGTGCTTCTGCGACAACGCAAACACACGAGGACTTAGTTGCCGCCCGCTCTTGCCAACAGGCGGGGAAGCCCTTGGTTAAAACCGGCAAAGGATGAAAGCTGAAAATGCGCATATAAACATGCCCCAAATGAATGAGGAAAGTCGCTCCTGCTTGCTGAACTGCACGGACGCATCGAAGATGACCCGGGGAGGCGGGAAATCGGCCCTCAGGCCAGGCACTCGCCACCTGAGCCTGTCTGCCCCTCCACAGAAAGGGATCACGATCCCACCTCTGGGGCTACTCTGCTAAGAAGGGCTTATTAACACACAGTCGGCGGGGATCCGTCATCACTGTCGTAAAGGGGTCCTGGATAGGGGAGGAGGGGCTCCCACAGCTGAAACTTCAGTTTACAAGCAGTTTCCACCTTAATAGTGAAAGATGCCGGTGTGCAGACGGCATCTCTCTGGGGCCAGACGCCAGCCGAGGCCCCTGCAGCCAGGCGCTCCAGTGTCCTGTCAGGTATGGACTATGTTTTCCCAACTTTGCAGGAGAGGAGGTCCGCCCCAGGGAGAGCGCCTGACGTGCCCAAGGTCCCAGAGCTGGGACGTGGACCCTGAGCGGGGAACCGCTCAGTTCTGCTGCTCCTGGGCCAGGGGGCCTCAGACATTTGTGCACATGTCACCCTGGTACTTGCTGAGCTGCTGGGACCCGAGCCGGGGATGAGTGACGATTCGGGGTGAGGTCCAAAAGTGTGGCAGTTCCGACAGGAGTGCCCATGGGTGCTGCTTTGGGAAACCCAGGGCTGGGCCGACTGGCCAAGGGTCTGGGACAGGTGGAGAAGAGGGGCCAGGAGTCAGCCGACAGGGCTCTGCAAGACACATGGTCTCTGAAACCACGCTGAGTCTCCAGGGAGTCAGTCAAATTAAACATTCCTTTGAGAAGCAAATATATCAGGTGAGCCTGGGCGCAGAAAAACTATTAGTCTTGCAGGAACAGCTCTAAGCCTCTGCCTGGATGGGGGGTGGAGACCCCGAGGCCCCTCCTACAGTCCTCCATCCCAGCCTAAGCCCCTGGCGTCCATGGCTCAGACCTGGCTGACCAGGGTCTGAGCCATATGGAGAGCGAGATGGGGGGCCCAGACCACCCAGAAAGTCTGGAGGTCTCCTGAGCCTTGCTGATGAGGGCGGGGGATGTGCAGACAGGGGCAGCGATGAGGCGGCTGAGCACCCCACCCCCACCCCACCCGGGAGGGGAAAGCCGCCTCCCCATCAGTCACCCAGACAGGATGACAAGGACTGTAATTTCTCCAGCTGCAGGCTTCAGAGGGAGAAAACAGGCCCATTGCTCACGGGCTGTTGGGTGACCGAATGCCTGGTCATCCTGGGTGTCCGGAAGGGGCAGGGCGCACTGACGGGGGCGGGCCTCGCCTCCTAGTCCCTAAGGACCTGAGTCACAGGGCTGATGGGGCACAGGGCTGGAGGCTGGACAGGGCGCCGGGAGGCCAGATGCCAGGCCCGACCTGGCCGCTGTATCCTGGACCAATCGCCACCCCTTCATGGTCCTGTTTTCTCTTCTGAGAAATGGCGCGAGGCCAGGAACGCCCCTTAAATCCCCGGAGCTGTGAGGAGCAGAGTTCTCGCCGCGCTCCAGGTGTGGTCAACACCGGACATTCTTCACCGAGATCTACCTGCCACGCGCCAGGACCTGGTCTGGCTGGGGGGCTGTGGGGGGCAGAGGTGGCCGGGGCAGGCCGAGGGTTTGGTAGGGCTCCCCCCAACGGGTCCCTCCTTCTCGTGGGCATCAAATGCAGTAAATGGGTGGGGGACCTGGGGGTGCAGCTCTCTCTGACCGGAGGGCCTGTCACTGACTGGCCACAAGGCTTGAACCTCCATTCGCTACTGGTGAAGGAAGGCCATGACCAGCCTCACCTGCATCTCACCTGCACTGGAGCACCTAGGAAGCCCCTGGATCCCCTGACCTGACTGCCGGATGCCGCGGGTGCTACACAAATACCCAGGGTCACCAGGACAGTGAGCAGGAGACGGTTTGAATCCCGGCACCATTAGCTGAATGGCCTTGGATGAGAGAGTCACCTCTCTGAGCCTCACTTCACCCGGAGAGTCAGCAACATCCCCTGGTCCCGGGACACTTGGAGATTCAGCGAGGCTGTGGACATTAAGCCACCGCCCCCACCCACCCCCACTAAGACCTCGAGCTCAGACCCTGCCCCTTACCTGGATGAGGTGGGCCTGCTCGCCCTGCAGGGCACTGAGCCCCTGGCCCAGCAAGCTGTGCCCCTTCCGCAGCCCCGCACACTCCGTCTGCAGCTCCGAGGCCCGGGCCAGCAGCTGGGGCACTTGGTCGGCCAGTGTGTCCAGCAGCTCCTGCTCCTGTTCACCCACCAGCCGCGGCTCAGCCTGGTGCTTGGTCAGCGCCTGCAGCATGGAGGCCTGGGCGCCCTCCAGGCGGGCGAAGCCATCGGTGAGGTCGGGGCAGCGCGGGTCGATGAGGATGCTGAGGTGCGAGCTGTCGGCCCTCTCCACGGTGACCAGGGCGCTGTTGGCACCGGCCGGCCCAGTGCTGACGACGGGCGGGAGGGCCGTGCCTGGCGTGTGCGCGTGGTTCAGGAAGAGCAGAGCGCCGGTGACCGCCACGGCCAGCAGCACGGCCAGGGAGAGCAGCACCGTGCACAGCACGTAGCCGCAGCTCGGCCTCTGCAGGCCAGCCAGGGCACACGGACACAGAGACAGACGGACGGACAGACAGACAGGAGAGAGAAGGAAGGAGAAGCCTCAGGAGCAGACCTGGGCCCCCAGCTCTGCCCAGGGAGGAGGGCCCAGGCAGCCTCGGGATGGGGCCTTGTGAGACCCGGGCAAGGCCTAGAGGGACAGGGGAGGAGAGACTCAGAGAGAGAGAGAGAGGTGAGGGACACACCAAAGACAGAGCAGGAGTGAGAGATGCCGGCAGAGATGGAGAGGATGAAAAGAGAAACCGAGGCAGGGAGACCGACGGAGAGAGTGGCCCTAACCTCCACTCCACCGCCCCGCCCTGCCCCACCTGTAAAATGCGGACAACAGACATGACAACAGACATGCCCCACGGCACACTTGGGCGCCTGGTGTGCAGACTCAGGAAGAGAGCTGTAGCGGTGACGGCAACGGTCCCACAAGTCGTCACGCTGTCGCAGAGGAGTGAGTGCCTTGGGCAGTGGGTGCCCATCCCTGAAGGTGCCTTTTGACCTGGAGTACCCAAGTCCCAAAGCCTGTGCAGGCGCGCGAGGCGGCCGCGGGTCCCGGGCACAGGGCGGTCTCCTGAGCACCCTCCCTCCCCCTTCCTCTCTCCTTCCCCCCCAGCACCGCCTCCTGTCACTCTCCAGAGCCTGCGGGATAAGCACCATAAACACTGGTGGCAGCGTGCCACCAGGGTGGAAAGCGGCCTACCTCCCTCCGAGGTGAGGGCCGGGGCGACAGGGCAGCTGTGCCTCCCAGAACAGACAAAGCGGCAATTCGGGCCAAGGATAAAGGTGACGAGCAAGGTGCAAACGGGGTTCGGGGCCAGCAACGAAGGAAGCTGGGACTCAAGTGTCGCTTGCTAGTAAAGGAGCCGCCTGACACGGCGGCAACTCCAGACTCGCTGGACCGAGTCACGCACGGCCCGGGGCTGGCCACCGTGTCTGAATGTCCCCAATTTCAACTTCCTGAATTGGAGACAGGTCTTCAGAGTTAGTGTACCGAGGCGCTGGGCACCGCTCCTGGCCAGCTCTGCTTGTGCTGTAAATATTGGCGGCTTTTATTAACTCACGATCAGTGTACACAGAGCATCCGCAGGTGTTTGGTTTTTTTTTATTTTCTACCCAGAGTGTTATTTCTGTATGTCGCTGATGCTAGGACTCACCTTCTCTTTTTTTCACGTTTTAATATCTCTGATATTGGGGGACATCTAACAGCCGTGATTGACAGCTTTCTTGCTTCATGATGCATAAAAGTGATGCTTCTTGCATCGTGTTAGAGGTCTCACTACGAGAAAATATGGCAGAGCAAACAGCTGCTTTTCCGTGAATTCAAAGCTACGAGTAACTCTCAGACTTCCTACGTGGCACCAGAGGAGGAAGATGGGGCGGAGGACCCCAGAGGAAGGGGTCTGTGTTATTGGTGAGCTGAGTGAGAGAGTTCCTTAGCCTGTCCCTGCAGTGTTGGGGACTCCCTGCCCCCAGGACTCGCTCCACGTCCCCCTCCTCTCTCCACACCTGCCCAGGCCCCAGGGGAAAACGTCCCTCCTGGGCTCCACATCTGGGCGTTGTACTCCAGCCAGGCCCGCACGCCACGTCAGCTCTAGGCTGGCTGTCCCTCTGCCCGAGGTGTCCACCTCCCCCTGCTTCTCTTCCACCTGCCGAACTCTCGCTCTCCCTTCAGGGCTCAGCTAGATGCCACCTCTTCCAGGAAGCCTCCCTTGACTGTTTCCTCGCCCCCTCCCCACCCCCGAGTTTGGCTGCTCCCACAGCCCTCGCTCGCTCCATGGTGGCGTTTCTCAGGATGGTCCCTGTCTGTGATTTCATTCACCCACGCATTCAAACATCTGGTCAACATTCCCTGGTGACCTCACGAGCCAGGCTCCAGGCTGGTCCCTGAGGAGGTCGGGGCAGCCAGTCAGCCCGGTACGGCCCTGAGGAAGTTCCTGTCCCATGGGCTGTGCTCCTGGGGCACAGATCCCTTTGGGAAGCTGTGTACACAGGGAAAGCTGGTCCCTAGGAAAGTCGTCCTGGACCATGAGTCCCCAAGGGCAGGGACCTGCTCCCCTCCTGGCACAGAGCGGCTGGTTGTTGGATGAATGGAAGAGCAGAGAGATCAGCTCACCCCTTGGCCAGGCTGCGTGGGGAGGAGCTAAAGCCCCCGAGGTCTACAGGACTTGGCAGGGTGGAGGCCCTGGACCACATGCTGAGGCCTGGACCCTGAGGCGGCACCGCCTGTGACCCTGTGCCTACCTCTGATGGCCTGACACAGGACGAAGGCAACCTGCAGGACACCCAACGCCCCCGTCACTGCAGGTCAGCCGCTTCCAGACAGGCAGGCATCCACGGTCACTGCCATTCCTTGAGCACATAGTGTTCCCGCCAGTGGAAGCTCCAGATAACCCCCTGCTGTGGGTGGGCTCATTCTGCAGATGGGAAAACCGAGGCTCGGACAGCAGAAGGCCTCGCCCTTGCTTACACGGGAGGCAGGCGGAGGAGGCAGCATCGGAACCCAGGGCTGGGCGACCCAGACCGGCAGCAGCTGTGCCCAGGCTACTCACTTTCCTTCTCTCCTCTGCCTGAAGTGCCACTGGGCTTTGAGGGACAAAGCTCGGCGGCAGCAGTAAGTCTCCGTTAGGCGCCCCCGGAGCTCATCAGGAGACACCTCGCCCCGGGCAGTTCAGAGCGATGTCCTCCAACTGGAGAGCATTAAGGTCCCCAGCTGGCGAGGCAGAGTGGCCAGCCATGTCCCTGTGTCTCCAGGACCCTGGGCCTCTCAGGCACCCAGCTCCACCCAAGCCCCTGGTCCCCGGTGGGAAAGCAGAGTGCAAAGGAGAAGGGGGGCTCGAGAAGGCAGCAGGGGCTCCCCGAGGGGCAGGGGCACCATGGAGCCCGGAGATGCGGCAGGCCACGAGCAGAGGAGAATTAGTCTTTAGAGAGAAGCTTAAGCGTGAAGCACTGCCCGCTTTTACAGGCTGCCGTTTACGTGCCTCGCAGAGAAATCTGCCCGAGATAAGAAGGGGGGCGAGCAGCCCAATGGAGCATGCCACGGGCTGGAGCTTACTAATCAGCCCTTGGCCGTGGCAGAGCGGGGCGCACAGCCTGGGGTGTGCCGGAGGCAGGCGCACGCGCACGGGCCCCACTGCAGGGGTGAGGAGCAGGAGACGGGGAAGGTGTCCCAGGCAGTGAGCACAGGAGGCGCCAGGGGCCCGGGGTTCGAGAACCCCTGGTAACCCCGCCATCTGTGTAAGCTCCCAGCTGGAGGGACGTGGCTTCATCCCCCGAGTGACCCCCAGTGTCAGCCCAAGGTCAATGGCTGCCCAGCAAGCCCGGGCCCAGGGGACAATAAGATGGGTTCGTGCCAGGGGAGGCAGCAGGTGGGAAGGCCCGGAGGTGTCTCACTTGGGGGGTGGCATCTATCCCAGCTGTCTCCTCTGAGTCCCCAGCCTCCAGAAGCGGCTGTGGGTCTGGCGGGGGAAAGCGGGGCTCAGGAGGAAGGGCCTCGCTGCCCCGGCGACTGTGGGCCAGTCCTGCCTCAGCTCGCGCCTGTCCTCTTCCCTGTCATCTAAGGGAGCTGAGTGGCGGTGGTCCCCCAGGAGGACTGAGACCACACGCCTTGTACCAAAGGAGGAGGAAGAAAGTCTCCCTCCGGGGGAGGCCAGGCCAGGTGAGGTCCAGGTGCAGCCGCCTCCGGCCCCCATCTCCTGGGAGGACCCCGAGCAGAGGCAGGATGGCCGTCTGTGACGGAAACACGCTGTGGTGCCGAGTAGGGTGGTGCTGTGTGGTCTGGGCCTGGCGGGGGCTCAGGTGGGCTCACGGGGCCGTGGGGAGAGCGGGAGGCTCAGAGCCTCGCGAGACCTCCTCCCCTCTCCCCAGCAGCCCACATCGGCTCCCGGTGAGGTGCAGGGGGCCAGTCCGGGACAGCCCTGAGAGTAGGGCTCTGGTTGTTCTGCTCAACATTCCAGGGTCCCAAAGACTTGGGAAGAGGGCTCGCTGGCCCGTCCTATAAGCCCTTGGCCCAGGGCGCCTGCAGGTCGCGCCTCCACCCCAGCCCCGACCTGTTCTCCCCACCTGCCTGGCTCTGCTCATTTCCCCCAGCACACCGTGCCCTCCCTCCAGGATCGATTTGGCAAATGATGTCCTGCTTAAAGGTCACCTCCTCCGGGAAGCTCTCTGCACCTCCTGGCCGGTCTCCCATCACGGCCACAGCACTCGGGGAAGTGGTGGGCTCTGGGACTGGGACACGGGGCCAGGGCCCCAAGGAGGGGCTCAGGAAATGGCAGAAGGCGTCCTTGACCACGGCCCCGGTCAGTCCGACCCTGGCCGGTCTCCCATCACGGCCACAGCATTCGGGGAAGTGGTGGGCTCTGGGACTGGGACACAGGGCCAGGGCCCCAAGGAGGGGCTCAGGAAGCGGCAGGAGAAGGCGTCCTTGACCACGGCCCCGGTCAGTCCGGCTGCTTCTCTTACTTCACCCACCTCCTGTCGCGGCCATGCCCCACAGCGACCTCAACCCAAACTCCAGGGACCAAGAGGAGAGAGGTCTTTCTCACTGTCGCGTCCATCGCGCTTCGTGATGACACCTGACCCGCTAGTTTGTTCCCCCGTGAGACTCTCAGCTCCCTGAGGCAAGGCTCTGGGTCTGGCTGCATCTCCCAGCTGAGGCAGGACTCTGAGTGTCACCGAGGAATTAAATGCTGTGAAGAATTTCTCAGTAAGATCTCCTGTTCTTTCTGGAATGTTTTCCAAAGTTTTGAAGGTATTAAGAGACATTGCCTCAGAGAGGTCAAAAGCGGCTTGAGGACTGCTCAGAAACGAGGCCCCCCCAGAAGGGTGACTTCCTGCCCCATACTCCAGGACCAGAAGAATCTGTCTATTTCCAGATCCTTTCATCTGAGCAACTCCAAACTCCTGGCAAACATTCCGCCATCGTCTCCTGCCTCGAGGGTACGCAAGCCCTCATTCTGCACAGGGAGAGGGGACAGACACTCTTACAAAGTCAGCATGTCGTCCGAGGTCACCCAGCAAATGAGAAGCTGAGGCCGGACGGGGCCCGGGACAGAGTCGGCCCAAGGATGCTTGGACGCAGGCCCATTGGCAGTGGGTGCTGTGAGTGCCCGGGAACCACGCACGCGGGACTCTGGAGCCCACTCCCCGGGCATCACGTGACGTGGCTGAGCAGGCTGAACGAAGAAAAGACAGCCGGCCTCCCCGCCGAGGCTCAGCGGCCACCTGTGAGCACCCAGGTTCGGTCCCGGCTGCCGCTCCCTTTGCCCATTTCCTCATCTGACAAGTGGGTCAATCATCCCTGCTACCAACCTCCCAGGGCGGCTCTGACTGAGAAACGAGAGCCGTGGAGGTGAGGCCGGCTGCTGCTCGGACTGTGGCGCTGGCGCCTGTCCCCCTGGAGGAGCGCCCCCGTTAAAGAACCTCAGCCGGACCCTCAGTGGGAGCTCGGTGGTCAAGTTACTGTCCCTGGTGGGCACAGGGGCGATCAGAACACCGACAGCCCGTGAAAGGGGACAGGCTGCTTTGACAACCACCGTCCTGGAGGTTGCACGGAAACACATCAGTACGTCACTTGACACTCCTAACAGCCCTTGTGAAGTGAGGAGGAAGCAGGGACTGTGACGGGAAAGCCCAGGCTCAGAGAAGGGGAGTAGCTTACCAGAGTCACACGGCATGTCTGTGGCCGAGGGACACGAGAAGCAGGCAGGAGAGCTGGGTGGTCAAGGCCCTCTCTTTTGACAATGGCCACGGGAGAAGCCCTGCCTCTTAATCGAAGCTTCAAAAAAGCCTGGCGTTAGCACAGGGGACAGCCCGTCCACATGCGGGTCACTAAAGGAGTGGGGAGATGAGGCGGTATTTGATATTAGCTCAGGCCCCTGGGGCTACGAGCCCTCAGCTGCCTCTGATGCCAAGGGGCAGACAGCTGGGCCCTGGCCTGGCCGCAGCTGGAATACACATCCCCAGGGAGCAGCAGTGGGAGGCTGGGCTGACTCAGGAGGCCCTGAAGCCACGGTTCAAACAGATCCCCCAGAAGCCACCTCCCCTTGAGACACAGCAGTACTTGCTGGCTCCTCTCCCACAGCTCCTCCTGGCCGAGGCTTCATGCAGTTCAGTTCAGCAAATGTCCCTCAGCTCCCAACCTGAACTGCATGGAAGGGCAGGAGCCTGGGCCCAGGGGGAGACCCCGGGCTGGGGGCCCAGAAGGATCACATGTCCAAAGGGATCTCCTGATAGAGAAGAGGCTCAGGGCTAGGGCGTAAAGCGGCGAGATAAAGGCAGCTGAGCAGCACGGGCTAAATGCCGCTGGGACTTCAAGGCACAGCCATTGGGCACCAGGGAAGGCTTCCTGGAGGAGGTGACATTTAGTAGGCTTTTCCCTGAGTGAAGGGGTGTGTGTGTGTGTGTGTTGGCTCCCCAACTCACACACACATACACGAGGTAAGACACCAAAGGTTTGGAAATGGGAGGCCTGGTGTGGGACCTGGGGTTGGTAAATGACAGGCAGTCAGTACCTGTAAAGGGGCTAATAGGAAGGGAGAATGGGCCAAGCTGGGGATGACCTTGAATGACAAGTCTAGGAAGTAGGACTGTTTTTGCTTAAAGGGGAGAAAGTCAGATTTCAGCAAGAGAAGACTGTTTGGGAGGGCTGACCTGACAAGGGACAGCTCGCCCAGGAGGCACTGGGAGAGGCTCAGGCTCAGACCCGGCTTCAAATCCTTTCTCTCCTGCTAACACGCTGTGTGACTTGAGCAGATGCCTCTGTGTCTCTGAGCCACCAACCCCTGTGACTTGGGAATGTGCATCCCTACGTAGCCCCCAGGCTGCTGCGGTAAGGGAGACTGTGTAAGCGTTTAGGAAGCGCTTTGCAAACTGTAGAGGGCTGGGCACCTTCACCACGGCAGTGTCACTCCAGACAGAATGAGCAGGTTGCAGCTTCTGAGAGTGAGGGGCCATCAAGGCCCGCCCCTGCCGCCCCCCTCCTGCCGCTGCAAACACGAACTGTTCCTTCCCCAATGACATCTGTCTGGGAGAAATTTGAAATTTAAAATGGGCAGCCCCATTAATTCCTCTCACTGCGCCTGCCGGCTCCAGTCCCTCGGCAGCCTGGCCTGGGGCAGCCCCGGGGCTCCGCCTCCCGTCCCCACCCCCTCTATGGCCAGACCTGGAGCTCTGCCCTCACCCACTTCAGCTGCTCAGCCCTGGGCACCCTCAAAGCCTGTCCACCTCCGCTGCCCCTGAACGGGCAGCAGGAAGCGGGCAATGAGCAGACCTGGAGCCTCCAGACCCGGGTTCAAATCCCAGCGGAGCAGCGCGGCCTCCAGCTGTCTGAGCCTTGCTCTCCTTGCCTCAAGGCAGGAGAATCACCATGCCCAGCGATCTCGCAGGAGGCAAACATTTATTGATCCTCTGCTGTCTTCGGGGGCCCTGGCTAAAGTGTGAGGATTCAGGAGTCGGGGAAGGGGGTTGAGTCTGAGCCCCAGAGCTCAGATTACCATGCCAGGCGCTTAGCACAGGGTGGCACACAGGGTGGACACTTAGTGGTGAAGATGCCCATCTAAAGGCGGGAAACAGACTCAGCAAGAGGCTACTCAGCGAACTGAAGGGCTGGTCCCACTGTGAACTAGACGACCCCTGCTCCCTGCACAGCCTTGCTCGGGCAGTCTTTTGGAGGCGCAAGGGGCCCCTGCCTCCTGCAGGGGGGCCGCCCCATCCCAAACCAGGCGACGAAGGCTCCCGCCTTGCTCCCGGCCTCCCGAACCTCGCGGGGGTTGAGCCCCAAACTCCAGCCCCAAGCTAGGCGCTCACCCCGCCAGCCAGAGCGGCCACCGCCCCGGGCCCACGCGTACCTGCGGCTTGTCGCGCGGCCGGTCCTCAAGTTGGGAAGCGCCGCCCATGGTCTTCCACCGGTCGTTGACCATCTCCCGGCAGGACCGGCGGGGGCGCGGGGCGAGGCGTGG